AAATTCCTGGTGGCCCCCTGTGTCTTGAGAAAACTTATGTTATGGAGGTGCTATCTAAATTGAACTGACATCAAACATGAAATGATCAAAACTGCCACCTCTAAACACCACTGCCAATTATAAATTTAAAAACTTAAAATAAAGCTGTGAACATTTTCTTTTAAGGATGTATTATTACTTGTTTTGTGGCGTTACAAAGACAAAGCACACATCTACACATTTATTTTTACCATTATTTTCTGCCCACTTTGGATGCGGCAGAAGCAAGCTGTAAACACGACACTGACATATCACATTTTAAGTTTATATGACAAACACAGTTGCGTCTTTACACACCCAGCAGATATTGAGGAAGATTTATTTATGTATTTGGAGTCGGTTTTTGTCCACCTGATGGATGTAAGTCCAAAATTCTCTTCCTTTTTAGCTTTGGTCGCTAATAATATCTTAGGGAAATATTTAGCTCTTCCACACCGTCTCCAGTAGGCGGCTTTTCTGCAATCAAGCCAATACAAGATAAAGCCACTGACACTACCTGCCCAGAAACATATGGACAGACACAGTTAGAGACAGATAATATTGTCAGGAGTTGGTGGAGATCAAACCACAGCTAAGAGCAGAGTGAATATTAGACTTACATTCTGCAGCTGATTACTCGCCTTAACAATTTTAGGTGAAATATAATTTTCTTCAAACTTTCCAACAAAACAATCAGTGCAGCTTTAAACACTCAGATAACTCAGAGCCAAGACAAGACAGCCAGGTGGGTGATGAGTGTTAGTTGTACAATAACACTGGATATGTGTCTCTCTCTCTCTCTCTCTCCAGTTTATCCAGGTCACCATGAGCACATGAAGAGGAAACAGAGGGGACACACCAGCCTTTTATACTTTTACTATTAACAGCATGTACTTTCAATGTGTATTTTTTGTTTAACAAATGTTTAACTTAATGCCACTGTCACATTATCCAACGAAGGTTAAAATCAAGGGCAACTGGACTTGGTTGAAGAGACTGGAAGACGTTTCGTCCCTCATCCAAAGGACTTCTTCAGTTCTGACTGACTGGCAGGGAAACTCAGCTATTTAACCTCAGTGGGTTCATCGATACCGCTGGTTCGTTAGTGTTCCTTGTTGCTGTGACGACAGTCGTTACAGTCGTTAAGGCTACCTGTGGCCAAGACTGAACGACCATCGTTGGTATCTTCACCTGAGGCCAATAGGTTACGTTTGTTGAGTTTCCTGGGAAGTGATGAAAGAATACATTTAAAACTATATAATAAATATATATTCATTTATACATATATATATAAATGAATAGAAATATAGCCGGTACCAGTCTTGTGAAAAAAATTTGTGATCATTTGGATCCCCTTTAGATCTTCTGGGGGGCCAACAGGGCTGCATCACATGATTGTTTGTCTGTTGGACCGTCTGCGCTCCATCTGGAGCAGCTGTGGCTCAGGAGGAAGAGCGGGTTGGCCGTTAATTGGAAGGTCGGCGGTTCAATCCCTGTCTCCCCCTGGTTGCGTGTCGAAGTGTCCTTGGGCAAGATACTGAACAGCTGTTCCGCCAGCGTATGAATGAGTGTGAATTTTAGTTTCTGTTTGAGCACTTAGGCTCAGTGTATGACTGGTGAATGCAGATGTAGTGTAAAAGTGGTCGAAAAGACTAGAAAGGCGCTATACAAGTACGGATCATCTGTCAGTGTTTTCCTCTCCTCTCAGCGTGAAATCAGTGTACAATTATTATCATAAGAAGTCTGAGTTCTGAGGTATTATTTTTTCATCTGAACTTGGGATTCAAACCTTTGTGTCCATGCAGAGTGGCTGGTCTACGGTATATAGTTTCAAAGGCAAACCTACCAATGTCCTTATTGTGATGTCACCATGCACCGTGCATTTTTACAGTGTCCCCTCAGTCAACGCCATTAATCTTATTGGGAGATCCTAAATGACAATAAAAAGTTGAAGAATGGCACCAAAAAGCAGAGATACATGTCTGAGCTTTTCTATGGACCCTTCTGGGACTGTTTTCTGTTTTCACAGCTCTGTTTAGGTTTCTTTAATTGTGTGGTAGAAACTATTAAACTTCCTTATTTTATATTGTTGTTAAAGGGCCAGTCCAGTCTGCTCCTGGTGAATGAGTGTTTGATTGAGCAGACATTCTTTGGATTAATTAGTCTTGCGAGTGCTTGTCAGTGTAATTTCTTACATAAAACCTCTGAGCATCAAATATATTTATGCAATATTATATAATATTAAAATTATATTTAATAAGACACTGTAATTTTACTCAGATAACCATCAGTCTATCATTTAATTATATTCTATGTCTAACCCCATGTTGAGTTGAACAGTTTGTGTACAAGCAGAGATGAAGGTAAAGTCATTCCTAACAATAACAGGGACAATGAACCAAAGTTCTTGCTCAGTCATTTTTATTTCAAACAGGACCTCATGTCATGTGAGGAAAGAGCAGAAGAGAGCAGGACAGGCTGACAGGATTGACTGCCAAGATCCTTGTTAGCTGTGAAGTGTACAATTGGCTTCATCCATGACGTGTTCTCTCACTTTGGCCAGCAGTTCTTGTGCTCTTTTACTAACATTAATCACACTTTGACAAGCTGAACCATGCTGTGAAAAAAAACAGATGCAAGTTTAATTTTGCAAACACAATGGAGGTGGGATTGTTTAAATGAGTGCTTTGCGTGTTTTAATGGTTTCCCGCCATGGAGAGTCGGGAGGGCAACGTATTAAATAAAGATGCTGTTACACTCACATGAAATTGCGTTTAGGCTTGTTAGGTCACATTGCGTGTAGTAAATAAATGTATTTGCATGTTACCCTCCCATTACTTTGCACAATGAAACTGAAACGCCCTAAATTGCATATTCATTAAGACAAAAGTAGTAAATGAACAACAATACAATATTTTGCACTTTTGAAAGACTCATTCTGCACGCACACCTTTAGTAGATCAGCTTACGCGTTAATTTGCGGGTTAATATCAAGTTTGAACACGTTTTTACTGACGCAAACCTTTCGTAAATCTGGCCCATGGTTTGTTAATTGTAGTTCTTATGGAAAGGCAGGAAACAATATGACCAAAGCTAGAGCATGATGAATTTCTTATATTATGTAATTGTTAAATGAATGTCTCTTGTTATGTGGTACTATCATTTCAGTACCCTTCACCCCTTTGGTTAGAGTAATAATTTTTATTGTTTGTTAGGCGCCTAACTGTATTGTTATTGTGTGTTTCTCTGTTTATTATTTGGTGTAACCGTCAAGCCTCATCATCTCCTACTGCACTTCATGTATGCATTTGGCAATAAAGGCTCTAACGGAATATCTGTCCCTCCTACATTCTTATTGTGGTACTATGGTGATGTTCAAACTTCTGTGAAAAGATTTTACACTGTACATACCTGCAGTGAATGGCTCTCACCATAACGTATAAAAGTAGCCATGTGTTCACATTCCTGGTAAGGAGGTCATATCTTTCACAGTTCTTCAAGGCTTTTTCAATTCGCTTTGCAATTTCGTCCGGGGATCCTGGTTTGAAGCCTTTAATGCCATCGAGGTAATTGTCCTTCTTCTCTTGATGATTATCTCTAACTTTTGCAAGTTTGTCAAATCTGCAGTTTGACCTATCCCAGTCACCTGTGTGTGAGAATAAACGTTTAGAAATATTGTATATAAACTTGATCCAAAATCTGGTACTTGTTCTCTATGTATTTTGTTTGCTCCTTTCTTACTTACTTTAACTGTACACAAGTTACAAAAGCCTGGAACCCAGCTACAAGTTTTTTACAAACACATCTATGGTATGTACACATAATGATTTGGGAAATGTTCTAGTTTGTCATCTGAGTCTGACGAGAAAATAAATATTATTTAGTGTCTAAATCAGACATCTCTGGAGCCAAAAATCGATTAGGAGCTTCGGGCATGACAAAACATTTGTGTCGTGATTATTCTCCTCTCTCTTATCCAACATTATGTAGTAATATGTCTACTACATTTAAATGAACATGAATATGCAAAAAAACTTACATTGGTGGCTCCTACACTATATTTAAATGAGCATACTTCACTTTAATTTTTACTCACTACACGTACCTGTGCGGTGAACTATGTCATTATCACCTTGGCCAATGTCTCTTTCTGACTTTGGGCCCACATAAATGGCATAGTGCATGTACAAGGGCTTTGCGGTGTTCTTGAGACATTTCCTGGGAAACACAATTATATCTCCAAATTGGTACTGTGAACAGAAGAAGTCAGAGATGCAGATCAACGTTTACATTCAGTGCAAAGCAAATCAACACAACAATCAGATTTAGTAGAGAGTTCTAGATGGAGCACAACCCTTCTGAGTAATGTGTTGTAATAACTGAACAATAAAGCAGTGGCTCGATGAATATGTTATCTGAAGCAATATATATCAGTCAGAGTCAGGTAGTTTTAGCTGAGTTTTATTCCTCAGGGGTGCAAACAGCAGGATTAAAGCTGCCAACGGATTTTGTTTGCCATCATTTCAAACATCTTCATTGTCTCTCTTATCGTGAATGTAGGACTGAATTCCGCTTATTATTGTTATTATACTGTAGATGTTAGAGATACAAATCTGTTTAGAAAAAGAGATGACTGGTTGCTTTGTATCACGGTAGATCAAAAATGTGTTGGTACTCTTGGAAAACTGGGGGAAAAAAAGAAATCTTGAAGGCCATCCAGGACAAATCTATTGGTTTAATAAAATATCCTCTGTGGCTTTTGTCTTTGGATTAAAAACTTTACAGTGTTAGGGTTTGAGAGGGAAAAGCATTTTCTCATCAAGCTGCTTTTCAGACCCCAAAGCAGTGCTTTTTGGCCAAGATATACTTTATGGATATTACTAAAACATTTTCTACAATAAAAGACACAATACTATATTCATAATTATCACCTTAGCTATGATTTAATTTTTTTGCTGTTGTTTATTTAGGTCACACAAAAACTACTTTGTTAAAGTTGAGAAGGAAAATATATTTGTATCAGTCAAACTGTAGTGGCAGTGGAAGCTTGGTTGTTACTGGCTGGTTATCATTGGATTATTTTCAATAATGGTAGCACCAATAACAACATAAATAGATGAAGAATATACAACTATAAATAACAATAAAGCAACCTACCCCATTAATCTCTATTATTGTGATCACCAGCTGAAGGATCACAGCAACCAAGATTGGCTTTTTCATTTTTGCAGCAGTGGAGAACTGACATGGTCAAAAGAGGAGAACATGTTTTAGACATTTATAACAAAAATCAATTATACAAACCATGATTAACTGATTTTACATAGGTTAATGTGTGCTGGCTACAGCCTTTTAAAAAAAGGAGTGATGAACATGCTAACCCACCATTTTAAAGCCTCTGTCTGTGAGTGTTTGACAGTCACACAACAATAGTTGTGCCTGATTTAAGCAGTGAAACTGAGTTTGAAGAAGGACAAAGCTGAATACTGGAAACAAGAAACAGGACTGAAAGACATTGGGCAGATACAGTCAGGACTTACCACTGATGTGTTGAGAAGATGGTGACTGAATACTAAAAATTAGCCTCTTAGCTCCCTGAAAGTACAAACACTCACATTAGTTTAACAATGCATTGCAGTCTTATATGCATATTTCTGGAATTAGCACCAGATACAACCAGCGGCCTCACACATGAGACAAAACATTTTCTGTCATTATAATTCAGTTTAGAGCAACACACTGAGGTCAGAATTTAGAGCAAGCAAAACCCTTCCAGTTTTCTGTTATGCCTGCCTTAAAGTAGTATTTCATTTGCCATAGTCACTGGAAAAATCTTTGCAGAATGAATTGTTTCACTTACCTTCTGCAGTGAGATGGTAGAAGCGTGTTGTGGAGATCAAGGGTTCACCTTATATACACTAAAGAACAACACACCTCATATCTTTGTCCAGCCCACCAGGTGCTGAATCATTTGAATGCTTCCCCTTTTCATTGCCATCATGAATTAATTTGAATTGCAAACATCACTAACCACACAACCATTGATTCACAAGATAAATTGTGTTTTTTTCCTGAGTTGCCGTCAACCTTCAACCTTCATACATTTTTCACTCATCCATGCATTCCATTCACCACTGATGCCACTGATATTCAAGTTTTTTCTGTTGTAAATAGTTATGTTGTTTATAGTTTATTTTATAAAACATTCTTTTTTGGCACTTTAACCTGCTTGGTCTCCCCCTTATTGTCACATTCAATGAGCCGGGATGTGACACTGTGTAGATCAGTATTTTCTGTGGTAATATTCAATAGGGGTTAAAACCAAGAGTATTCCTTCAGCCTCTCATTGGTTAGTAGAGAGAGTGAGAATCATAGTGTTCCTAGACAGGTCTATGATACAATGGGATGTCTCTTTCACCATTTTACCAAGCATTAGGGTTAAGGGGGTTTAATACTTATATATGTTGCTTTATAAAGTACTTGCCTCATCACGAGCCTATGGTGAAAAGGGTTACATTTAACATGAACATCCAACATTATAACATTGTAGATAAGTCATAAAATGTGGAAAAGCATAATAGGTCTCTTTTAATAGTTCCTTTCACTGGAACTAAGGGGCCAAGCCCGACCCCGGAAAAACAACCCCACACCATAATCCCCGATCCACCAAACTTTACACTTGGCACAGTGCAGTCAGGCAATTACAGTTCTCCTGGCAACCTCCAAACCCAGACTTGTCCATCGGATTGCCAGACAGAGAAGCGTGATTCGTCACTCCAGAGAACATGTCTCCACTGCTCAAGCATCTGGTGGCGGCATGCTTCACACTACTACATCTGATGCTTTGCATTGCACTGATTTAAGGATAGATGCTGCTCGAAACCCATTCCATGAAGCTCTCTATGCACTGTTCTTGATCCGAATCTGAAGGCCACACAACGTTTGCGTTGTTGTTCTCTGCTGCCACCAAGCCAAAGTACTTCTTAAACGATGCTTCGATGAATTGATAAAATAATTTGTAGAAGCTTTGAGTACTAAAAATGAAGTTTTATAAACTACATTTGGGAATAAAGACCACGCCTCGAACACGTCCCATTTCGGCTCATCTGTTATCTTTCCCTCTGATTCGTTTTTTCACATGACCTGTGACAGACATGGAAGAACATGCTTACCTTAAACCATGGACCAGGAGTGCATTCTCAACCCCTCAGACAGCGATCAGGCTGAAGACATTTGGCAGGCAACTGATGCCGTGGAATCCTCGCCATCTTCTAACATCCAACCTGGTCAGAAACTTCGGCAGCGCTCAACAATCCACAATCCCCGGCGCTCCCTCCATCAACTCCAATATACCATGGTCTTTGCCATCCAGCTGCTCCAAGAGGAGATCCCGTCCGCAGGAGTTCAAGGGCCATCACCCCTTCCAGACGGTCCTCTCCGATCCACCCAAGATTCAAGCGGCGAACATCAATCAATGCTGATGCTGTATCAATGCAATCAGTCACATTTGCCCCCTAAACATTCTTTGTTCACAATGGGATCTTTTTCAGCACATCTTACCAATGATATCTGAAACGTCTTTCCATTTGAAGTCTTCTTGGGGCTCTATCTGCAGCAGAGCACATGAAGAAACGGTTCCCCAACACAGAGTCTCAACTTCCCTGGTTCTACGAAGTTCCAGAACACACAAAGAGACAGCTCACCTGCGTCTCCTGCTTACCTGCCGCCGGCTGACTCCGATCCATCGTTCTCATCCATCCATCAATCCATCTCTCCCCTCAACCCTCTATACCTCACCTTTCCATTCCCTCATCCGTCACTCTTATCTCTTCATCCCCACTTCCCACGACCCCTCACTCTTCTTCCTCACCCCTTCATCCCTCCCTCTGGATCCCTAGCACATTCTCGCATACAATCTCGGCTCTACTCCATCCGTCTCATACAATGAAATATCCTAAATCCATATCATGTTGGCGTGGTCTTTGAATCACCTGGTTTCAGAGGTAAGTACAGCTGTGTATCATCAGCATAACAGTGGTATAATATATTATGTCTACAGAGAAGACATATAGGATAGAGAACATGGAAATGACAGATTCTGTAAATGTTGAGAAATGTATATTTATTGCCATCCAATGCTTAATATCATTTAGGCAGTTAAAAATGGACTGTAAGGACTTTGAATCACGTGGTTGAGAGGTAAGTACAGCTGTGTATCATCAGCATAACAGTGGTATATTATAGATTCTGTAAATGTTGGGAAATGTAAATTTATTGCCTAATGTGAAAACTGTGTAGTCTGTCGTTTAGAATACTGTAGCATTTGACTTTCAGCACTTTTAAGGGGATTTCAAAGATACACATCTTTTATCTTCTTTTGCTGTTACGCTAAATTTGAACATCGTCATTTTGACATCATGTCTGATTCTCAGAATGAGTGAATTGCAGTTTTTAGGGATTGCTTTGTTACTATTATCGCAAGTATGTGGTAAAATTTCACAACGCTTAGTTTTTTTCTGTCACTGTGGTTCTATTCACACATGTATGTGTAATATTTCTCCACTCAGTACAAAAAACACAGCAGATCACCAAAAAGACTTTTATCACATATGTATTGTTTCATTTGCCTGATGCGTTCAGATTCAAAACTTCAGAATCACTTATCATAAGGCTTAATATATTTACTGTATGTGACTTCAGTGGGATTCAAACCCACAACCTTAGTGTTGGTAGCTTTACAACAAACAGAGCCACAAAGGACCACTGCAATGATTTCAGCATGTATATGACAGTTAAAAATGGATTGTAAGGACTTTGAATCACCTGGGCTGGTATTTATCAAGCTTCTCAAAGTGCCATTTTAGTCTTAAGTGCTGAGAATTCATGAAATTTACTCCTACTTTTAAACTTTAGAATAAAAGCAAGTTAACAAATTTCTCAAAGCTAAGAATCACTCTTACTCTCCCAGTTATTTAAGACAGCTTGAGAGGTCTCTCAAGTGGTTAGGAAATGCCATTAGGGCTTGTGATGGCGCTGTGGAGACAGAGACATGCGGAGAGGAGAGGAAGAATTCTGACGACGGGGCAGTTAGTAAGGCGGGATCGGACAGCGCAGGCATAATCCTTGTCAGCGAGTTGGTGAGGGACGTCATCTCACCACTGACTTTACGCAGTAATGCGTTTTCAGTTAAATTGAAGGTGGAGATGACACTTTGTTTATTTGCCCCACTGTTATGAGTCAAATGCATATATATTGTACACCACAACAAACACAGCAATGCTGATGATTTTGGCCAGTCACAACCATCAATAAGCCGAATAGTCATGGAAACAATTATAGCACTTAGGCTATAGCTCCACACACTGTCATGCGTTTCATCGACTTTCCAACAACACCCCCCGTAATCCGACAGAATCAAACACAGTTCGTATAGTCGGCAATACAGGAGTGCATTTGATGGTGCTCATATATATATGAGATAAACTTTGTTTTATCTTTCATTTATTAATGTGTAAGCCTATATCATAATGTGTAGGTGTCCTGTCCTCCATACATGACTGACTAACTAAATCACCTGTTCCCCCTCCTTCTTCTTCTCTGGCCCCTTTGCCAACTGGCAACAACAAGGTACCATCCACTGCCACTGACGCCCCCTTTTGGAAGGTATATAGCCATGCTTCTATAACTCCAGTCCACACTGGGAGGCCGGCTTGTCACATCGTTGCCTCATGCATCCCTAAAATCCCTGTATTGACTTTGCATAGGCCTGTTAAACGAGACAGACACATTCGTTTCAGCAATAGTAATAACTTAATTAGGATACAAGCTTTATCCTTGCCTCAGGTCGTTACGTCTGCTCTACCACAGTATAGATCACTAGAGTTGGCTCCTCTTAATGTTAGATCCCTCTCAAACAAAACTTTCATTTTAAATGATTTAATCTCTTCTTCTGACTTAGACTTTATGTTTCTGACTGAATCTTGGCTATGTCCTGGTGATCACAGTCAGCTTATTGAATTATGCCTACCAGATTATGACTATTTTAGACGCCCCAAGGAAAGAGTGGCCGTGGGGGTGGCATTGTGGCTGTTTTTAGAAAGCACTTTAAATGCACTCAAACTCTGTGTAACGATTACTCTTCCTTTGAAGTGCTCTTATTCAAACTTGGTGGCCCCCCACCGGTCCTAATTGCTGTCATCTACCACTCCCCCCAATCCAGCCGGTCCCTTCATGCTGGAATTCCCTGAATTTTTATCTGATCTTGTTTTATATGAGGACAGAATCCTTATTTGTGGAGATTTTAATTTTCACGTTGACGAGTCTTCAAATCTCCCTGCTCTTGATTTTTTAAGTGTCATTCATTCTTTTAATTGTACTCAACATGTGTCAGGCAAAACTCATCACTATGGCCACACTTTAGACTTGGTCCTTAGCTTGGGTGTGAAGATATCCGCTGTAGAAATTAAGGACATCTTTATATCTGTTCATCAGGTCATTCATTTTCACTGTGAACTACAGGCTGCTAGTGTTGTCCAGTCTTTATCAAAACAAACCCACAGTGTAAATGAGCAGAGCGCCTCTAAATTTGGTGCCCTCTTCAGTTCATTTAGCAATGTGCCCCCTGACATCTCCTCCACTAATGATATTGTCAACTATTTTAATTCCCCCTGTTCCTTAACCCTCTGAAAAACAAACAACACTTAAAATCTGCAAAGCAACCCTGGTTAAATGCAGATATCAGAAACTGCAAACAGGAATGCAGAAAAACCGAACGCAGATGGAAAAAAATCAGGTCTCCAGGTCCATTTCACAGCCATGAAAGAGTTACTATCTTCATACAATAGGTTGGTAAAAGAGCTCACCATTTCTCAAATCTTATTGCTGTCCACCAGCACAATCCTAGTTTTCTTTAGAAGACTCTCGA